GTGCATCAAAAGGTCTTTCAAGGTTGTAACGTAGGCTCTTTGGTTAGGTAGGATAAATATAGGCTAAGTGGCTCGAATTCATTACATAACTCAAACACCTTACCCCAAGAAAGCACTCAACCGGTTGCACAAACATACCGGATCTTCCCCCACACTTTTTCTAAAACCACACGTTTCACCCATCTTATTTCATTTTTTTTTTCTTCTTTTTTGTGTAAACCTTATTGGATATTTTATAATCCATTTGGCTACATTTTTTTTTTCTCTTTTTTTTCTTTCGATTTTTTTTAATGTGCGACCTTTTTTGGTCATTTTTTTTTTGGGATGAAGAACATGAACACAATTCCAACAAACAACTCCAACAACCATCCCCTCCAATTCTTAACCCGCAACTCCAACAACGTCATCATCACGAGGTTATCAACAAAAATCAAATAAGGCTCAAAAGGGGAGACTAGAGAATAATTTGTAGAGAAAGAAAAGGATAGAATACAATAAACGCCTTAATCATATACACAGTTCACAATTCTAATCAATTTATTTCAATGCAGACTCAGGGCAAGTTCTAATCAAACAAGAGCACGACCAATATATCTCAAGAAGCAAATAAGGCTCAAACCTCACTAGGTAGATATATGAATGCCAATCAAAGTAATCGACCAAGCATTTCATCACGCTATGCCTCATATGACCAACATCACAACTCATCGAATTCATCAAACAAGTCTTAACTAATCTTGAAATTTCCAAAGTCCATACTCACAAAAATACACAAAACCTACACTAGACCGGTCCACCACATAAGCATGCAAAATCCACGTAAACTCCCCCACACTTAAAATGAGGCAATGTCCTCATTGCTTTAACTCAAAACAGGAAGTCAAATACAAGGACAAAACAATTTCACATAATGAACCAAACTAGTAGCTATCACAAGACACAAACTCAAAAGAAAAGACGAGAGAAAAAAACAACTCAAAAAGGATAAAAGGAAAAGGGTGTGCAAACCGAAGATGCCTCGAGGAGGATAAGCATCCACGTGCAAGCCGCTCGCTTATGCTCAGCCCAAAACCTCGATATTCCTCCTGCTCAAGCTCGCAAACTCGTACCTGCCAAGAAAAACAAAGAACTCCAAAACTCCCATTATTCAAAGATAAAATAAAAGAGCATAAAGAAAAATATCTAGAAAGCAGTAAATCGCTTGGGTTGCCTCCCAAGAAGCGCTTGTTTAACGTCATTAGCTTGACGAAACCTGTGTACACCTCAACCAGGGTCCAGAAAGAAGTGACGATCGTGCCATGCCTTCGTGTTCTCCAATAATAGTCCCGATGGTAGTTCAGAACAAAGGCGGGCAAAGAGTAAAACCTTCGTGCCCACGTTCTTATGATGCAGAGCACGGGCATCAACAACTACCAAGAGGAGATATAAAGCATTACGAATCCAAGCCCCATAATCGACCTCCGGAAATATGAACATATCCGTGGAGCATGTCGAATCGATCTCGGCCTTCACCAATGCCATCTCGGATGTGTACTCTTCAACTTCAAGTGTCGGGAGCATGTGCGTAAACACAGTCGACTCCTCTAAATGCTCACAATCCTCAACGGCATGCGATGACGACCCAAAGGACATGGGAGCCACTTCATACTCAACATCTCGAGCCGAGTCACCTATCAATGCACAATTTGGTTCAATAACCTCATATGATGACTCGACCTCCTCATCAACCTCATCCTCGTAACAATGGACTACCTTCTCCTCCTCCTCCTCCTTCTCATAAGTGTCCTCCCGAGCTCCTTCAACAACACTCGGCACAATCAAATCCTCTCTTGAATTATCCCCCATGCCATGCACCGTGTCGGCCTCCGAGTACATACACTCAATCTCATTGAAGGATGCAATCATATCCACCAATGTTCGAAACTCGCCCTCCAACCGTGCACTTTCTCGACAAACCTCCACCGATAGAGAAGCATATCTACCAAGCGGGATGTGAGATGTGTCCAAGTCGAGGAAGGTAACTACGGTTAAGTCGAATTCCGTTAGTTGATTTTGGAGACCGGATGGAATGGAAATGATCCCCCAATTGTTAAACTCCTCTACAACCGACAGGAGGTTCGCGAGCCTGTCTCGAGTATTTGCCAAAACCTCTTGGTGATCGTCGGTAGGAACAACCCTTGTTTGACTTGAAGTCTCGGTTCTCAATGAACAAGGTTGGCCAACCGATTGGTTCTCGTAGATAGGAGGTGGTAGAGTGTAAGACTCGGCGTCTTTTTTTTCGGATGGGGACACCTTTGAAGTACAAATGGATAGAAAGGATTGATTTAACTTCTCAATTTTCTCAAAAATCTCATCTAAACGGCTCGGAGAAGCTACTTGAGTTGGCTCGGGTGGAGGCATTGAATCGAAATATGCGGGAGGCGGAGGGTAGTAGTCGTAGGAAGATGGCGGTTGGTAATAAGGCGACTCGTATTGATTCAGAGCGTAATAACCATATCCGCCTTGAGACGTCGGGTAAGAATGGCTCGGGCCATACCCTTGGGATGTGGTGTATCCGTCATGGTAATAATGATTTGAATGGCTCGG